CATATAAACTAAATCGTGTGTTTGTTTATATATAACTAGATCAATTATATATATTGTGTAGTTTGTAAGAGTTGTAGTTAAAGGTTGCTAGTTGCCAGTTGCATTGTAGCACGTGAACTGGTGAACACTTGATGGCTTCATTCATTAGTATTGTTGTGAAAAGTTAAACAAAAAGAGAGCAAAGAGGTCGCTATTGCATGAGCACGTACGTGTGATGGCAATTCTGAACCACACACCAGTATGTTAACCCGCCCACACCGCTTATATATACCAAACCTTCCAGGAGATGTCTTGAATAAAAAGAAATTTAGAAGATCAGATATGGCACCAAACGGGAGAAGGAAGAGTGTGAGCGGAAGCGTGGTGAAGCCGCCACCTCCACCAAAGCTAGCGAAGGAGTCACTGCATAGGACTCTATCAGACTTATCGTTGGATTTCAAAAGAGAAGAAGAGAAGGGACTCGTGACGATATCGGAGGTGGAGAAGGCAAAGTGCGAGTGTTGCGGGATGAAGGAGGAGTGCACGATGGAGTACATCGAGAGGGTGAGGGAGAAGTACTTAGGGAAGTGGATATGCGGTCTATGCTCAGAGGCGGTGAAGGAGGAGAGGGAGAAGAGGGAAGAGAATGGGCTCGAAGGGGCCTTGAAGGAGCACATGAGCGCCTGCCTCAGGTTCAACAAGCTTGGGAGGGAGTATCCTGCTCTGTTCCAAGCAGAGGCCATGAGAGATATGCTCAGGAGAAGAAGGAGGGGTCAGTCTATTAGCCCTAAACCCACTACTATTCACAATAAGCCTGCTATTTCCCGCACTTCAAGTTGTATCCCTGCCATCAACAGAGACCTTAATTAACCATTTTACCTCTCTCTCAAATCTCAACACACACACATATATATATATATAGCCCTAAGTTTGTCTAATATCATCATAACCTTTAATTTAGACCATATACATACCCTAGTAATAAAATGAGATTCTCCTGATCCTGGTCAAGTGTGTGCATGTTAATTAATTCCTATATTTTTTGTTTCTTTCAAACCAAAGGGACCAACGACTTTCTATGTATATTTACCAATATGGAAATCTAACAGAACAAGACCCTCTCTTCCCCTTTTTAAGCTTTGTATTTCCACTATAAACTAGTCATTCAAAAGAATACTTGTGTGTTTTCGATATG